TTTTCAAAAAAATAAATCAAGCATACTCAATGTTGTTAAATCAATATAATGACTATTAAGAAGAAATAAATCACAAGCTATTTGTTGTGATGCATAATCAAGTGAAAGTTTTTTATAATAATCTGATGTTGGTCCAATAGATGTTGGTTCTTTTCCAATATTTTCATTTAAACCACCGGGATTTATATTAGGTATTCGTGTTTGAATAACTGTAATTCGACCACCAGTATTATGAAGTAATTTTTCAGCTATAAGAAGAGCTGTACCTAATGCTGAATCAGTTTCATGATTATTCTGATAAACTTTTGGTAATTCATTAAGAAATGTTTCAATTATTGTTCGACAATCACATAATGTTACCATTAAACCATCAGGTAAAGGAAGAAATTCATCTAATTTATTTTCAATATTTTCTATATCGGGTGCAACCATAATACGAAATGTACCATTTTGTCGGTCAGATAAATCATAAAAATGTATTCGACTATCATAAGTAATAAAACCTATTTGTGTACGTGCATCCCCTGGTAAACTATTTAAATTTTCAAATAAAATATCACAAAATGATTGAAGATAGCCTAAAAAAAGGAAAATTTAAATTTTATATGAATTTATATTCAATCATTAATATATTTACCTGTCTGAATAGCATTATGAGACACATCAAGTAAAAATAAATACATAGCTGGTTGTGGTGGTCTAGCCTAAAGTTTATATTCAATTAAAGAGCACAAAAAAAAAGTATTTATAATCTAACCATATAATCTGATGAAGCTACATATTCAACAGTACCAAAACGAACTTCTGGTCTTCTACTTGGATCACCATATGTTTTTGTTATTGGATCAAATAGAAATTCTTGTGGTACTATGATAACAAAAAAAAAGTTAAAATAAGTAAAAAAACATAAGATTAAATATTTACAATCATTAACACGAAAACAGATACTACAACGCCATCGTGTATTATCTTGAATTGTAACAAATGGATTAATATAACTTTTACATGTATCACATCGAACTATTTTTGTACCTTGAATAACACTTAAACTCTTTGAACAAGAAAAAGACAAGATAAGGCTATAATGAAATAAATAATTTTACGTCAAGATCTTTAAATGGATGAATAAGAACGCCTAGTGGAAGACGACATTTATTCAATAAATCTTTTGTTTGTGGAAAAACATTAAGACTACATCGCATTACTCTAAAAAGACAAATGTTTTTCTTTTGAATTATCCAAAAAAATTTAATGAATATTACATACTCGGGACTACAATTCATTTGTTGATTTTCTTCATTCAATAATGGTGATATTGGTAGTTCTTCAGTAAATGGACTAACAATAGTTTTTACTTTGAGCAAATCAAGTAAATTATTATTCTAAAATAGAAAGTCATATAAAATTTATTTCATTAATTATTATACTTACAGAAATAGGACCATTCATATTATTAACTTGTTGATTACCGGTATTAATTGTACTACTACCCATAGCATAAGGCATTGGTTGTTGTGGTATTTGTCCTACTTGTCCGGGATAGGTTGAAGTTAAATATGGAGTGGTTTTACTAGTTGGAGCAATGTTTGAATTGCTATTGTATTGTGGATAAGGATAATTCGATGAATTTGGTTGAGAATTTTGGTTAGTCATTTGAGGATATGTAGTTTGTGGAATGAGTTGAGGTTGTTGTTG